TATTTCCATATTTTTTCTAACAATTTTTTTATATTATTATAGATTCTTTAATAAAAATTTTAATTATAAATATTAATAAATATCCCTTATCTGTGCATCACAAGAGATTTTTATATTATCATACCTTTATTAAAAAAAATTATATCTTTTTATCAAAGAGTAATGCTACATAATCAACCTAGTGTACAACTAGGTTGACAACACAAGTGTAAACATTCATAAAACTAAAAATAAAAAAAATACACAAGTGAATGTTTACACTTGTATTGTCAACCTAGTTGTACACAAGGTTGACAATGTAGCATTTTTCTTTATCAAAACGTCGTACTGCGGATATGGCTGGTACTAGTGATCAACTTATTGGCTATCCTATATTTTATATCATATCATAAAGCAAAATATTCTTTTTTCTTTGTTTATATATATACATATATATATATATATATATTTCAAACTATTTCTCGATTTCTGCGTGTCATCATTGTGCATGGGCCATACTAATCTTCTATGTATCGTTCTTATTTTATCGGATGTCCCCGAAGGGACTTTTTTTTTAATCAAACTATAAACCCACAGTTTGTATTACCATAGGTTGAAGCCTAAAACCAGTGCACACTGCTATTTTTGTATGAGTACCATTGTCAATTGTCATCTTCTTTCTTTCTGTACCTTTATATATAATCTATGAAAATAAAAAAGAGAGCCTAATCAAATAATTAAGCAACTATTATATATGATTAGAAGAACCAATCATCTTAAAATTGTTAGCCTTGTGTTAAAGCTATCACTGTCTCAACATATTCTTCTTGTTTCTACAGTTATAAGCTAGTCAAGCTAGTAGCACACTAGTCACCAGCTACTACTTTTTTCTCTAAAGCAAGAATCACATTCTTTTCCCCTTAAAATCTACTCAAAAGCTTCTACCCTCACACAAATGTAAAAAGGTAGATTCCAAAAAGCAAAAAAAATGTAAGAAAATAATAAACATCATCACAGTTTGACATTACTCTATCATCGCTAACGGGTAATTGTTTATGGATTCAACTAAAAAGAAATCGATCAAACTCAAATTTAACTCAACTTTTACCCAATTTCAATATCTTCAATATTATCAAATATAATTAAATAATATCAACCAATCAGTCTTACACAGCTCATCAACTTTAATTCACTATTCATCGACTTAGCACTGTCACTTCTAATCATCTTTCTCCTACTTTACATCAAATCAGCTTTAATTATTTTATTTAAATAATATTTTTATACATCCACTAACAACTAACTATACCACATTTTTTTTAAAATTAAAAATAGTTAAAAAATAAACTAAATAAAAACTAATTGCATCCATAAACAATCACTCCCTAGTAATTTCTTGTAGTAAAAAGTAAAAAGAAACACAATCTCATGATTTCCTTGTCCTAATTTTCCCCTTTTTACCCCTACCTTTGAGAACAAATGTCCAAAAGCATCTTCCTACTTTCAACTATTTCATCAAAGAAATCATCAAGCTGCCCTACAATCCTCTCAGCCCCACACCGCAACAACCCTAGACACTCCCTCAGGTTATCCACCTTTTCACGAACATCGACACCCGTCTCGTGCCTAACCACACCCTCCATCTCGATTTTAAGCTCGTCCAAAGCAAATTTGTAATTACGAAGCTCGTGTAGTATCATTCTAGGCTGGCATCCCGGGCGGCTAACAGAGTGCACGATCCTCCGGTGCAATGTGGCGGCCGAGGCCATGAAGCCCGGCCCGTTAAACGAGTATTGGTCCTCATGTCTTTTGTCTTGGCGCAAAGTCGTGTCGGGCCCAAAGTAGACGAGCCCGTTTAGTAAAATCTCCAAAAGCAATGTGGTCGCGTTTCTCATTGCGCACAAGACACCTCGAAAGCCATTATACCCGTTGAGCTTCGACTCGGACAGGGCATTATAGTTGTCCGAGTCGAATTTCAGGCATAATGTTTGCGCTCTTGTTTCGGCTATGCCCTTGTTTTCCTCTTGTAGGGCCCGCATTCCCCGTCGACTTCCATCGATTGCTCGAATGACCTGTACTACCCGCCAAAATAATAATAATAATAATAATAATAATAATAATAATAATAATAATAAAACAAGAAAGCCGAGAACGATGGTGAATCTTTCGGAACTACAAATGTGCCCTTAATAGGAAATGCTACAGTTCTGTTACGGAACTATTTGGTCGGGATTTGTAATCGTTAGATCGTTATTTAACCGTCGTGGATGTGGATAGTTGATCTAACAGTTACAAATCCCGACGGACTGGTCCGTAACGGACGGTAGAATCTCCCCAAATTAATATCTACACTTATTATTTTTTTTTTTTCGAAAAATATTTTTTTCCCTATATTTCTCTCTTATTTAAAAAAAAAAATTAATAAATCAGCGAAACATCATTAAACCACCTTAAACACCGAATACTCTGAAACAATGAAGAGAAAAGATTTGTAAAGACGCATAAATTAAAAACATAATTCATATATTATTCTTCATAAACGAAACCTGGCGCGAAAGGTGAGGCGTCGGAGCACGACGGCCGTCGATCAAGGACGGAATGTTGGCGCCAAAGGAGCAGTAGTTTTCCACGTTAGAAACTCCCGATTTGATGACGTGACAGGCCTCCCACAGCCTGGAGCTCTCGTCCATGTACTCGTCCAGCCATTTCCCGCCGACCGGCAAATCGAGGCCCCGGACCAGAAGGGTCAGCCGGGAGTGGATCGATCGGACGGCCGTCAGGACATTGTGGAGAAAATCGACGGTCATGGAGAGATCCTCGGACACAAATAGGCCATCAAGGTGTTCGATCTCGCTCGTCAGGAAACTGTAGAAGCCGCCGATTGTGGTGGTCGAAGAATGACTCATCATCATACGAACCCCCCAAAAAAACAAAACTAATGGATGTGGAGAGATTTAGGTATTGATTAATATATTGTTTTATTATATTTTATTTTATTTTATTTTATTTTGGAGAGAGTAAAAGAAAGAAAGAAAGTGAGAGAATAAATAGAGGTAATATTAATTTATTGGTAAAATTGTATTTTTTGTACGATGTTGCATTTTTAGTCTCAAGGTTTCAATTTTTTGTCTCTTGATCCTGTAGTTTAGTATTTTGCTGCAATTTCAGTCATTGACACTGAAATTGCAACAAAATTTAACATTACAGGACTTAAATTGCTAATAAAAAATTCATCTAAAAGATTTTTTTTGTTAGCAATTTAAGTCCTGTAATTTTAAATTTTGTTGAATTTCAGTCATAAAGCACTGAAATCGCGTTGAATATTAAAATCGTAGGACCATATAACAAAAATGTTCAATTCGTAGGACTAAGAACGCCACTGGATTAAACCATATGACTAAAATTATAATTTTACCTATTTTATTTTAGTTTATATATATATATATAAAAGAAGCTATTGTTTGGATTTGAAGGAGGCAAATTGATGCAGAATAGGAAAAGAATATATGTTTGTTGAGAGCAATTATGCGCGTTTTCCGTGTGGAGGGTATGATTAATGAGAATCTGTGGCTTGAATTATTAATTAATTTAAATTAAATTGAAAGGACAAGTTTGTGTGAGAGAATATATTTAGTAGGGTACGAATAAGGTAGTTGATCGGGTGAGTGGGATTCACATATATCACATCATGATACATATGTACTATATATTCACTAGTTTATACACTTACTCAATAGAGTTAGATTTTTTTTTTTTTGGTACAATAAATAAAGTTAGATATTCACTTGTAATTTTACACTTCTTTTGCTAAAGACAAATGCTATAAGTACGTAACATTCTACATAGATGTGTACATAACAGTCGTATTAAATGATCATATCAAAAATAAAAAATCAAGTAGACATCACTCCTATGTACATTTATTATGTACTTGTAGTATTTTTCTTTGGTAAATGTGTGGTAAACGTGTGTTAAATAGTAAATGTGGTAAACGTGTGTTCAGTAGACATCACTCGTATGTACATTTATTATGTACTTGTAGTATTTTTTTTTAGTAAATGTGTGTTAAACGTGTGTTCAGTAGTAAGTTTTGTAATATTAAAATTTGTAACAGCCGGGGATTTATGATTTTTCTTTTAATTTATAGGATACATATACAATTAGACGTACTTTATATATTGATTAATTATGTGACAAAAGTGTATGATTTAAAAAAAAAAAAAAGTCGATGGCATTTTCGGATATTTAACTAACAATCATATATACATATATATTTTTTTTTTCTTTTGGAATCGTCGCATATTTATTAGTAAATATTATTTAGATTGTTTAATAAACTAGTGCGGTACCAGTGCAATGCACGAGCTAGTTTTACAACATTATTTGTTTGGTCTTTTGGTACATCATCTATCGCACAAATTATATTAGGATTAGGCTTAAATGAATCAATTGAATATTTAGCAGGATACATATGATATGATTTATAATGCCTTTATGAAGAATAGTGCGTGGCTCGTGCGATGCACGGGAAAACAATATTACGATTGTGTTATAAATTAAATATACAAATTAATTAATCAAGATTTACCCATTGTTTTTAAATTAAACCACAATCTAGTTCGTTTGATTAAAATATTTGCCATTAAATCCGTCAACACTAGTCGGTTGAACTGGTAGGATAGATACGATTTTCTAAATTAATTTTGCTACATTTTAAAATTATTTTAAATAAAATTACATATTTAAATAAAATAGAGATTTATAAATTGTTTATCAATCAGTTTAAACATTTGAATTTTTAAATTGTTTAGAGATTTAAGTAACACATTTTATTTGAATTTATTACAAAAAGTACTAAATATGTATATATATATATATATATATTGTTGTGTACAAATTTTTATTTTTACCGATTACCGAATTGAAAGATTCGTTCCCCGGGTCGATCTCATGAGGAAGGCGGTTCGGAATTCAGTTTTGGTATTGATCACAAATAAAAAGAAAATAAATAAAATTCCTAAACACTCTAAATCAAGGTTTGGTTTGGATTTAAATTAACGACTACTAGAATTTAAATAAAGCAAATTGAAATAGCAAAATTATCACAAAGAACTAGCATGATTTAAGGAGCTAGGGAGTCGGGGATATCCGTTTTGGTTCGAAATGTAATTAATGGGCAAGTGATTGTTGTTTATTGTGTTTTTGTGCTTCTTTTTATGTGTTTTATGTGTGTGGTTGAGTCGGTTTTAGATTGGTTTACTTGTCTAACCGGTCCATTTCAGTTGATTCCGTGTGTTTTCATTTTCTCTTTGGTGTTTGTATTTTGGCGTACTTTCTCGTGTCTTTGGTGCAATTTTTAGGTCCATTTTGGAAGATGAAAGAGAAGAATCGAGCCAAGTTCTGAGAGCATGAACCATTCCGAGAACCCCGAGCCATTATCGAGTCATTACTGTGCAAGAGATCCGGAAGTCTAGTTCGCCTAGCGAACGTGTTCGCCGCATAGCGAGTGTGCACAAGACCCACAAGACCAGTTCGCCTAGCGAACGCGTTCGCCGCCTAGCGAGTGTGCACAAGATCACAAGATCAGTTCGCCAAGCGAACGCGTTCGCCGCCTAGCGAGTGTGCACAAGACCACAAGACAAATTCGCCTAGCGAACTAGTTCGCTACCTAACGAGTGCTAAATTGTTAAATGTATGTGTCTTAGTGTGTGTTTGTGGTGTAGCTATATAAAGATATTATGCTTTGTATTTTTGAAGACAACCCTCATTTCCCAACTTTTAAGTTGGGGAATTCCTCTCTATTTTCTTTTTTCTTTTTTTTTTATATTTTGGTTTGGAGCATATGAATCAAGTTTCCCGGCGAATTTTCGGCGGCATTGTTTCGAGTAAAGTTTCGAGCTTTTGACTTCGTTTCTCCTTCCAAGTGCGTGTAAGAGTGGGTACTTAGTCTTAAGCCTCATTACTTCGTATATCTCTGTTTGCTTTTGTGAAAATCGATATTGTGCTTGTGTTGCTTGGAGGAAAAGATCGAATATTTAGATCGTGAATGCTCGACTAAGTGTGATTAGGAGTTGAATGCTTGCTCGTCTTGTGCTAGAGTTTGGTTTAGCTACCTATGGTTTTAGCTAGCATGACAATGTTCGGTTATTTGTGTGCGATTGATCATAGAGACTCCGGCGAACCAAAATCCCTCTTTCCCCCTTGATTTCTCTCATCTTCTTGCGTGCTTAGTTAATTGCTTTCAATTGCTCTCATTTCGTAGATTAATCTAGTTTAAATTCAAACCGTCAAATTGCGAGTAGAATGTTTAGGACCTTTTCGGTTGTGTGATTTGGCGACTAGATAGTGAACGAAGCTCCGAAGAGCCTTCCTTTGAGAACGACCCGAGTCCGGGTAACTCGGTTACCAATTGCCCAAAAATACTACAAACAAAATGGCGCCGTTGCCGGGGATTTCTTTTATTTTCTTTCTTTCATTTTATTGTCTTATGCTTGAGTATGCGTGGTTTTGTTTCCTTCCGTGTACTTTTTGGGTCAAGCAATGGGGTCATTGCTTTGTTTTAAGTGTGGGGGAGGATTTTCTTGATTATGCTTGCGTAGGCGATTTTTCTCTTATTTTAGGTGCTTTATTTTCATGTTTGTAGTGTCGTGGACCGGTTTTTGCTTTGAGTCTTGCATGTTTTTGTGTCGATTCCCCTTCATAATGCTTGATGTGAGTTTGATAGCCAAAGTGGTTAAGTGGTGAGCTAAGAATTTCGTTTGAATCATTGTTAATTTTCGAGCTTTATGAACTTGATGAATTTGACGGTACCATAGAATCGAATGATAATTTGTTAATGTGGGACTCACATTTGAATTCACGGAATTGTTTTGTCCCTTGTTATTCTCGATTGGTTGACTTGAGTTGCGCTTACCTTATGCTCGTTTATTGATTGGAAACGTGTTGTGCTATTTGTTTGTGGTGCATCTAGATCAAAATGTGTTGAGGTGATTATATTTTTGATGTATCATTGTGTCACTCCCTCTAAAAAAAAAAACTATAAAAAATAATGTGAGTTCACGAGGAAGTACGGATTAGGCTCCTCTTATCCCGCGCCACATCGTGGAATGGGATAATGAGCTCGGGAAACCGGTCTAGGGAACTCGGGGAAACCCCTCGAGGTTAAACATAGATAATCATTGTCTGGAAAGCTCGTTTGGAAAAAGAAAATCACAAAATGAGCTCGTGAGAGTTGGAAGGATTAGACTCCACTTGGTTCGGTTGGTCTTCTAGGCAAATTGGACCAACGAGTATGGGAAACCGGCTTAGAAGACTCGGGGACAAACCCCGAGGATAAACCTAAGTAATAATCGTCCTAACGGCTCTCATTCGGAAAAAAGTAACTCATTAAAAAAAAAGAAAAAGAAAAGAAAAAGAACAATAAGAAAGGGAGTCGACTTTATGGGTTTTGTTCTATGTCGAGTAGACCTCATTTGGCTTTTTGCACGTTTATGTTTCGATAGGGAGCGCGAATCGAGAAAATCATGTGTAGGATGACTTGAGACGGATTTTTGTTTTGTATGAATTCATTTTGTGGGGAACATGTTTTCAAATTTGAGTTTGACTCTATGATTACCGGATGATAAGGAGAGTCTCATTTTCAAATGATTGTTAACTTTGGATCACTCGATATTTCTTTTCGAACTACTTATTATTTTGTTTCCTTGAGGACAAGCAAAAAGCTAAGTGTGGGGGAGTTGTTTATTGTGTTTTTGTGCTTCTTTTTATGTGTTATATGTGTAGTTGAGTCGGTTTTAGATTGGTTTACTTGTCTAACCGGTCCATTTTAGTTGATTCCGTGTGTTTTCATTTTCTCTTTGGTGTTTGTATTTTGGCGTACTTTCTCGTGTCTTTGGTGCAATTTTTAGGTCCA